CCCCCCCCCGCATAGTGCCATACAACTGGGAGGGAACCCCAACTCCCAGCCTCTCCATGAAGAGTGAAAGATTTGGACTACACTTCTAGCATCCCAACTTTTAAGTCTCCCACCTGGGGATTAGGCCCCCAAATCATCTAACTCTGATAGCCAACAGTGTTTATTCATGTTTATAAGTTCCACAGGGTTATATCAAACAAAGAAGCAGTTGTTAATGGGTGTACTATCCCCTCAGGGCTCAGCAAACAGGGAGCAGGCGAAACACCCATTTCCCAATTTCTCCCTGGAAGGAGTATGACTGCAAATTTTTACAGCTACTGCCTGGAGGTCCTCTAATCAGCCTGCATCTAGGTGCTGACTACATTCCCCCCTTTGGGTCACTGATGGGTCTTGGTACATCCTCAACTACTAGCAGCAACTAAGAACAAAGATGGCTGCTTGGATAATCACAAAAGCTTGAGAAGCAACCAGGAGCTCAGGCCGGGCTGAGTGATGAAGTTCATCTCCTTCACAAAACCAGTCTGTTAGGACTAGAAGAGGAGGATGTTTTATCTAATGGGCAGAAACCAACACAGAGAGTCAAGGAAAATGAAACAAGGGAGTATCTTACAAACAACAGAACATTATTAGTCTACAGAAAGTGACTTTAATGAAATAGAGATAAGTTATTTACATGATAGAGTTCAAAATAATAATCAAACAAATACCAACATCAGAAAGTAATGTCTGAACACAGAGAGAGTTTCAACAAAGTGATAGAAAATATAAAAAAGTATACCAAACAGAAACCATAGAGATGAAAAATACAATAACTGAACTGAAAAATTCAATAGAGGGTTTCAATATCAGATTAGATCAAGTGGAAGAAAGGATCAGTTAATTCAAATATAGGGCAGTGGAATTCACCCAATCAGAGGATCAAAAAGAAAGAAAAAAACATAAAAAAAGAGTGAAGATAGCTTAACAGATTTATAGGACACCCTCAAGTGAACCAATATATGCATTATATTAGTCCCAGAAGGAGAAGAGAAAAGGGAAGAAACCTTATTCAAAGAAATATGGTTAAGATATTCCCTAACCTGGGGAAAGAAACAGACATCCAGATCAAGGACCCCAGTGAATAACAAAAAAAGAGGAATCTAAAGAACCCACACCAAGATACATTACAATTAAATTTTCAAATGTTAAAAACAAAGAGAATCTTAAAAGCAGCAAGAAAAAGGTAACTTGTTATGTACAAGACACCCCATAAGACTATCAGAAAAATTTTTAGCAGAAAACTTGCAAGGCAGGAGGGAGTGAGATGATATATTCAAAGAAGAAAAAAACCTGCCAACCAAGAATACTCTCCTGGCAAAATTGTTCTTTAGAATTGAAGGAGAGAGTGTTTTCCAGACAAATAAAAGCCAAAGGAATTCATCACCACTAAGCCAGCCCTACAAGAAATGTTAAAGGGAGTTCATGAAGCCGAAATGAAAGGATGCTAACTAAGAACATGAAAATATATGCAAGTATTAAACTCCTTGGTAAAAGTAAATATATAGTTAAATCTACAATACTGTAAGGTTGTAATGGTTGTGGATAAATCATTTATAACTTTTGTATAAAGTTTAAAAGACAAAAGTATTAAAAATAAACATAACTAAACTAAATATAACTAAAAATAAATATAACTAAATATAACAAAAGTTTTTAATGATACATATTATAAAAAAACAAAATTATGACACCAAAAACAAAGGTGGGGAGGAAAGTGTAAAAATGTAGAGTTTTTTTTTGTGTGTTAAAAAGTAAGTCATCAGTTTAAAATATACTGTTATAATTAAAAGATGTTTTATGTAAGCTTCATGGTAACCAAAAAGCCAAAACCTATAGTAAATACACAAATGATAAAGAGAATGGAATCAAAGAATGCCACTACAGAAAACCATCAAATTATATAGGAAGAGAAAAAGCGAGGAAGAAAGGCGCAAAGAAACTACAAAATAGCTAGAAAACAATGAACAAAATGGCAACAGTAAGTCTATACCTATCAATAATTATTCTAAATATATTTGGACTAAATTATCCAATCAAAATGATAGAGTTGCTGAATGGCGGCTAAACAAGAACCAACTATACGCTGCCTTTAAGTGACTCACTTCAGCTTTAAGGACATACACAGAGTGAACATGAAGGAATGGAAAAAGATATTGATGCAAATAAGAACCAAAAGAAAGCAGGGGTAGCTATATTTATATAAGACAAAACAGACTTTATGCCAACGACTGTAACAAGAGACAACAAAGATCATTATACAATGATAAACAGGTCAATTCATTATGAGGATATAACATTTGTAAATATTTATGCACCCAACATCAGAGCTCTTAAAATATATAAAGCAAATGCTAACAGACTTGAAGGGAGTAATAGTTAGCAATACAATATTAGTAGAGGACTTCACTACCCCACTTCAACAATGAATAGATCATCCAGACAGAAAATCAATAAGGAAACATTGGACTTAAACTACATGTTAGACCAGATGGATCTAATAGGTAGTCAACAGTAGCTGACTATACACACAAACACACGTGGAACATTCTCCTGCACAGATCATATGTTAGGCCACAAAACAAGTCTTAAATTTAAGTAGACCAAAATTATATGAAGCTTTTCTGACAATAACTGTATGACAGTAGAAATCAATTACAAGAAGAAAACTGGAAAATTCACAAATATGTGGAGATAAAACAACATGCTCCTGAACAACTAATGAGTCAGAGAAGAAATCAAAAGAGAAATAAAGTATCTTGAGACAAATGAAAATAAAAACACAATATACTAAAACATAAAGGACACAGCAAAACAGTTCTAAGAGGGAAGTTTATAGCAATAAATGCCTATACTAAGAAAAAAGAAAGATCTCAAATAAACAACACAACTTTACACCTCAAGGAACTAGAAATAAAGAACTAAGCCCAAAGTTAGTAGGAGGGAGGAAATATAAAAATCAGAGCAGAAATAAATGAAGACTAAAAAGACAACAGGAAAGAGCGATGAAACTGAAAGCTGGTTTTTTGAAAAGACAAACAAAATAGATAAACCTTTAGCTAGACTCACCAAGAAAAAAGCAAGCAGGTTCAAATGAAATCAGAAATGAGAAAGGAGGCATTACATTTTATGTTACAGAAATACTAAAGATTATAAGAAACTACTGTAAAAAATTATACGCCAACAAATTGGATAAGCTAGGAGAAATGGATAAATTTCTAGAAACATACAACCTACCAATACTGAATCATGAAGAAATAGAAAACTTCAACAGACCAATTACTACTAGTAAAGATATTAAATCAGTAATTAAAAACCTCCCAACAAAGAAAAGTCTAGGACCAGATGGTTTCACTGGTGAACTCTACCAAACTTTGAAGAATTAATACAAATCCTTTTCAAACTGTCACACACACACACACACACACACACACACACAAATATATATATATATATATATATATAT